GCCACTGCGCTCCAGCCTGGCTGACAGAGCAAGACTTTGCAAAAAAAAAAAAAAAAAAAAAAAAAAAAAAAAAAAAAAAAATAAAAAAAAAAAAAAAAAAAAAAAAAAAAAAGCATTCCAGTCACTCAGTGGAGGAAGATTGGAGGGAATAGGAGCAGATGACGGGTATTATTTTGGGGAGCTACTGCAGAAGCTTGGGCCAGAGTTGATGGTGGCTTCCACAGGATGGTGGTGAGTGCCCTCACTCTGCTTTCTGCAAGAGAAGAAGGTGGTGAGGAATTCAGGATATTAGAAGGTAGTTGAGATGCACATGGTCAGTTCAGAGACTGACAGAAAATGTTAGCCTCATTCCATGGGCACAGATGATGGGAGAAGGATAGGCTAACATTTTCTGTATTTTCTGCCTTCCAGACACTGTGTTGAGTGCTCTATCTCCTGCATCTTCTAAAGGAGATGCACTGTCTTCTTTAATCCTCCTGACAGTCCTCTCAGGCTCTGCTGTCCAATATGGCAGCCACTACCCACATTTCGCTATTAAACATTTGTGACGAGTCCAGATTAAGATGTGCTGACTGTTTAAATACCTGCTTTTGAAGATTTAGGATGGAAAAAAGACTGCAATTTCTTTTTATTTTTCTTTTCTTTTTTTGTTGAGACAGGGTCTCACTGTCACCCAAGCTGGAGTACAGTGGCACAGTCTTGGCTCATTGCAGCCTCGACCTGGATTCAAGTGATCCTTCTGCCACAGCTCCCGAAGTACAAGTGTGTGCCACCACACCCAGCTAATTTGGTTTTTTTTTGAGATGGAGTCTCGCTCTGTTGCCCAGGCTGGAGTGCAGTGGTGCGATCTCAGCTCACTGCAACCTCCATCTCCCAGGCTCAAGCAATTCTCCTGCCTCAGCCTCCTGAGTAGCTGAGATTACAGGTGCACACCACCATACCTGGCTAATTTTTTTGTATTTTTAGTAGAGACGGGAGTTCACCATGTTGGTCAAGCTGGTCTCGAACTCCTGACCTCAAGTGATCCGCCCGCCTCAGCCTCCCGAAGTGCTGGGATTATAGGCGTGAACCAACATGACTGGTCAAGACTTTTTTTTTTTTTTGGAGACAGAGTTTCACTTTTGTTGCCCAGCCTGGGGTGTGGTGCTAAGATCTGGGCTCACCACAACCTACGCCTCCCAAGTTCAAGCGATTCTCCTACCTCAGCCTCTGGAGTAGCTGGGATTATACACATGCACCACCATGCCCAGCTAATTTTGTATTTTTAGTAGATATGGGGTTTCTCCATGTTGTTCAGGCTAGTCCTGAACTCCCAACCTCAGGTGATCCTGAGACCTGCCTTGGCCTCCTAAAGTGTTGGGATTACAGGCGTGAGCCACCGTGCCTGGCCTGTAATTTCTTATATTGTTTACATGTCAAAGGAATATTTTGGGTGTACAGGTTGAGCACCACCAATCCAAAAATCTAAAATCTGAAATGCTCTAAAACATGAAATTTTTTTAGTGCCAACATGATGCCACAAGTGGAAAATTCCACACCTGCCCTCATATGATGGGTCACATATATTATTAAAAATACTGTGTTTGTTTACATTGTGTTAAAAAACAAAAAAATATTGTGGCCGGGTGCGGTGGCTTATGCCTGTAATCCCAGTACTTTGGAAGGCCAGGCAGTTGGATCACCTAAGGTCAGGAGTTCGAGACCAGCCTGATCAACATGGCAAAACTCTGTCTCTACTAAAAATGCGAAAAATTAGCTGGGCGTCTTGCTGCGTGCCCCAACTACTTGGGATGCCAAGGAAGAAGAATTGCTTGAAGGAGGCAGAGGTTGCAGTGAGCTGAGATCGTGTCACTGCACTCCAGCCTGGTGCCTGGCGACACAGTAAGACTCTGTCTCAAAAAAAAAAAAAATTATATAAAGATTGGGCACAGTGCTCACGCCTATAATCCTAGCACTTTGGGAGGCAGAAGCCAGTGGATCATTTGAGGCCAGGAGTTTGAGACCAGCCCAGCCAACATGGTGAAACCCCGTCTCTACTAAAAATACAAAAATTAGCTGGATGTGGTACCACATGCCCGTAATCCCAGCTACTTGAGAGGCTGAGGCACAAGAATCACTTGAACCCAGGAGGTGGTGGTTGCAGTGACCTGAGATCGCGCCACTGCGCTCCAGCCTGGCTGACAGAGCAAGAAGAAAAAGAACAAAAACTTCAGGCTATGTGTATAAGGCACATAGGAAACATAAATGAATTGTGTGTTTAGATTTGGGTCTGATCCAGAAGAAATCTCATTATATATATATGCAAATATTCCAAAGTCTGAAAAAATCCAACATCCAAAAACACTTCTTTTTCTAAGCATTTCAGATAAGGGACCAGAATTATTAAATAAGGTATATTATTAAGTTAATTTTACCTGTTTCTGCTTATTTTTTAATGTGACCACCAGATTATTTAAATTTACATATGTGGCTTGCATTATCTTTTTAATGGACAGCACTGCCTACATAATTTTTTTTAAATCCCTACACCCAAGGAAACAGATATAGATTAAGTAGCATGCTCAAAGAGTCCTACAGTTAGGATATAGTGCCAGGTTTTAACCCAGATCAGTGTGAATTTCAAGCCTGGGTTGTGCCTACCACACCAGCAGCCTCCCTTCATGGGTTTTGAGTTAGGATGAGGAGATAAAATGACAAGGGAAAGACACAGAGAGGTGGGGCACTGTACCTTCTCCTTTGCATCCTTGCCGGTGGACAGGTAGACAGCTGTGGGAAGAAATTGAGAAGGGATTGGATGGTAGAGTGGTACAGGGGGAGGGTGGGGGGATGGGTGTCAGGCTCCTTGGAGTAGGTGGGGAAAGTTCACCAGCCCCAGGTCATGGTCAGGGTGGGGCTCACACTCACCAGCCCAACACAGTGCCTTGATGAGCCCAAGCAGAAAAAAGGCAGACAGGAAGAGGCCTACGCTGTCCTCAAGGGAGGGCCCTGAGAGACCTGACAAGCAGAAGGGGTGAGAGTGAGCTCCTGTCTTCCCAGGTGCTGGCTCAGGCTCCTGGAGCTCCCAGCTCTTACCTGCTACCTCCAGGGTGACCTCAGCACTGCGCCCCGAGGCAGGCAGGCTGGAATGGTGGATTCGACAGGCATATCGTGTCCCATGCTGCTCAGTGGTGACTGGGGGCGGTTGCAAGTGCCCAGAGAGGCTGACAGAGCCATCAGAATGGTGGCGCAGGCCTGACAGCCACCTCTGCCCCTCGGCCTTCTGAGAGTGGCCCCCTGGGCCACCCCGGAGTTCCCACTCCACCTCCAGGCCTCCAGAAGGGTAGAAGTGTGACACAAGGCAGACCAACTCTGGGGGTGACTCCCCGGGGGCGGCCCATGCAAGGGGTGCTGGCATCAGGGACACTTTCGGGGGTTCTGAGGAAAGAGAAGGAAATGAGCATGGGGAAATCAGTCCATACTGTCCTCCCTAAAAGACCCTCAGTTTGCCTTCTGGTTTCCTCAGAGCTAAAGAAGGTTGGGTTTGTTCTCCTGCAATGGGGAACCCACTGTCTCTCCATTGGTACAACGCAGGAATACCCATGCCAAAGCCCCTCAAATTCCCAGGAACCTTCTAGCCTCCCATTACCCCTCTGACTCCCAGGAACCCCTTTCTATCTCTACTCACTCACCCAGGCACCCTCTTCTCTATCATCCTTCCCCCATCACAGTACCCACAATCCAGTGCCCACCCTCTACCCCTGGAGACTCCGTCTCCCTACTCACTGTACACAGAAAGCTCCAGGGTGACCTGTCCTTGCAGGTATGGCAGGTGTACAGTGGCCAGATAGGTGCCCTCCTGAAAGGGTTGAACTCTAGGCAGCCAGAAGGTTCCATTTCCGGTCCATGGGCCCCATGGCTCGTCATCATCCCAAGCAGCAAATGCCACTGCCCCTTCTTTGGCAGCTGGCATCTGCCCATCCAGCCCAGGAGTTGCAGCCAGGAGCAGATGTCCTTTACCCAGGTGCTGGCGTCGCCACTCTAGCCCAAAGGGAGGGGGACCCAGAGCCAGAGATGAGGCAGCCTCAGAGGTGGGGGGCATGTAGGCAAAGCTCAAGTCCAGCATAGCATCTTGTCCCAGTCTTACTCGAGGGGCAGGGGTGTGGGTGAGGACAGTCAGTACCACTGAGGAGAGAAAGAAGGAAAAAAAAAGAGAAATGCAGTTATTGGGGAGGACCAAACTGTAGTTCACCCAGCATCTCAGGTGTCTCAGGATACCTTTTCTGATACTCACCATCTCCTAGCCCTCCCTGCAAACTCCTTTTGCTCTGGGACTGGGTGGGACCTAGTGTGACTGAGGGTGGGCAGAGACGTCTAGGGGTGGTGAGTATGGGCAGTGAGGGGGTATGGCCTTTGAAGGCTGCTCTGAACACATAGCCCACTCACGCTCTGGGGACTGCAGAATCTGAGGGCACTTCTGACACTTCTGAACCACTCTAGTCTCCAAGCACCAGCCTTGAGAAAGCAGGCCTTTCTTGATTACTGACGAAGACAATGATTGAGCCATGACTGTCAGTCCTGTGGTGCTATACAGAATATTTAAAGACTCTAGAAGGTTCTAGCTGTAGTCTAGACCTGAGCACAGACCTCTATGCTCTACTGAAGCAGTACAGTGCAGTGGCTAAGCACCTGGAGCCTGGCTGACCTGGTTCAATTCCACTCTGCAGCTTATATGGCCTTGGGCCACTTCCGTTTTTCATGGCTCAGCTTCCTAATCCTGCTTTTTTTTGGAGACGACGTTTCACTCTTGTTGCCCAGGCTGGAGTGCAGTGGCGTGATCTCGGCTCACTGCAACCTCTGCCTCCTGGGTTCAAGCGATTCTCCTGCCTCAGCCTCCCAAGTAGCTGGGATTACAGGCATGTGCCACCACACCCAGTTAATTTTTTTGTATTTTTAGTAGAGACAGGGTTTCTCCATGTTGGTCAGGCTGTTCTCGAACTCCCGACCTCAGGTGATCCGCCTGTCTCGGCCTCTCAAAGTGCTGAGATATAGGCGTGAGCTACCATGCCTGGTCTAGCTTCCTAATTTCTAAAATTAAAAGATGATGATAATAATAGTACCTACTTCATAAGGTTGTTGTGAGGGTTAAATCATTAATACCTCTTGCTACTCAAATCTATTCAGTTCCCAATTTTAGATAACAGAGACACCTACATATGAAGGGCGCTTAGAACACTGGAACACAGTAAGTCTACACATGTGTTTGCTGTAGTTACACCTAACTTAGCATACCCCAAGTCAACAGCATTTCTGCAACATTCCCCACCCTGCTCCAATGCCCATCTTCCCTGCCTTTTTTTTTTTTTTTTTT